TTCAGGTTTAAGAATTTATTTTATTTAGTTTTAGTTTTAATTGTGGTAAAATACATATAAGATGAAGTTTACCATCTTAACCAGTTCTACGTGTACAGTTCAAAAGCGTTAAGTACATTCCTATTGCTGTGCAACCATCACCAGCCTCCATCTCCAGACCTTTGTCATCTTCCCAAACCGAGACCCTCCCCATCAGACCAGAGCTCCCACTGCCCCTCTAGTCCCCGCCCCCTCCCCGCAGCCGTCTCTACTTCCTGTCTCTATGACCCGCCTATTCTCGGCAGTGCCTGGAAGTGGAATCACACAGAATTTGACATTTTCAGCCTGGCTTAGTTCACTCAGCACAGTGTTCTTGAAGTTCATCCATGTTGCAACAGGCGATAGGATTTCCTTTTTCTATGACCTCATCATACCGTGTTGTCTGTTTAGCGCTGACAGTTTTAACCAGTTTCCCAGAGTCCTTGGGTTCCTCTGGTCCTCAGTTTCCCCGTCTGTGCAGTGTGGGGGGGCGAGCTAGATGGTATGCCCGGGCTCCTCTTTCCCGCAGCCGCAGTTCTGTGAGCGAGTTTCTTGCCCCGGAATCTGGGTTCTGCAGGCCAGTAGTGCGGTTATTGGTGGCTTCTGTGGTGTGTGACCTAGCGGGGCAGGCTGTGGACCAGGGAAGGGAGCCCCTGTCTTGTCCAGGTGGCACTTGATCCTGCAGGTGACACAGTCATTGAGTCTCAGACCATGTCACTCCCCCTTTGATGCTTACATTGGAGCAAGAGTCAGCCTCAGACAAGCTGAGCGGCCCCTCCTTGGCGGCCTGACTGGGGCCGGATGCCCAGGGTGGAGCCTGAAGACAGCGGCCACCCAGGTCCCCCACAGCCCACGCCCCAGGAAGCCCCCTGTGACCTCAGCACGCACCAATCTCAGAGCTCCGGCTCCCAGCCCTCGGCAGCCCCTTCTCATATGTGCGGACGACATCTAACTCCAGTCTTCCTTCTTTTTAACATTCACTTAAAATTAAAGCCATGTTTCTGAAATTAAAAGAAGTTCACATTCATTGTAGGAAAATGAGAAAAATTCTACACAGACACAGAGGAGAACATCTCCAGTATTCCTACTGCCAAGTGGGCTCACTTTCTTCATAGTTCGGTGTCTCCACATGTGCGCTCCCCAGTGCGGGGAGATATGGAAGGAAGGCAGCTTCCTTCCCAGTCACCCCCCATGGTAATTCTACACAGACACAGAGGAGAACATCTCCAGTATTTCTACTGCCAAGTGGGCTCACTTTCTTCATAGTTTGGTGTCTCCACATGTGCGCTGCCCAGTGGGGGGAGATGTGGAGGGAAGGCAGCTTCCTTCCCAGTCACCCCCCATGGGGGGGGGGGCGCGGCCTGGGCTGTTGCTCTGGCACTGTTCCCAGCAGCACCTGCAGCGCCCTGTGGGGCTGTGCCCGTCAGTGTGGCTCCCTGTGTGAGAGCCACTAGGAGTGGAATAGTCAGGCCTGGGGACTGACCCAGGGCGATTCTGTGTTTCGGGCTGTGGCTGGAAAGGCTGCAGGCTGAGGCCCGCCAGGGGTGCCGGCTATGGGCCGGCTCTTAGCATTCCCTTAGATGTGGAGCTTGTGGTTTGTGTTGGTATCTGCTGCAGGTTGTGTGGCCCATTGGTCAAACTCAGGCCTGGGGACTGACCCAGGGCGATTCTGTGTTTCTGGCTGTGGCTGGAAAGTCCGCCAGGGATGCCGGCTACGGGCCGGCTCTCAGCATTCCCTTAGACGTGGAGCTTGTGGTTTGTGTCGGTATCTGCTGCAGGCTGTGTGGCCCATTGGTCAAAAAGAGGCAGGAAGTGACCGCTGCCTCTTCTCCTCCTGTGACACTAAGGGAAAGGCCACGGTCCTGGTCCCCACTGTGCGAACCTGGCAGTGACGGGGACCTCAGTCCTTACCCAGAGACCGGGGCTGAGCAATGCCCACCCCTTAGGGCGGCCAGGGTGGTGATGAAGGCAGCAGTGGGTCTGGTAAGGATGCGCCTGCTTGAAGGAAGAGACAGGGCCCACAGGTTCGTGAGGGGAGAGACGTGCCTGGCCTGGCCCAGGAAGCCTGTCCCGAGAAAGGGGGCGGGATGACCAGCGGCAGCTATGCCGTGGCCGTGGCCGTGGCTGTGATGTCCAGGCTGCCTCCTGAAGGCCGATCCCACCAGGGGGCCCTGGGGCCAGGCCCCCTCCCTGCCGCCTTCCCCCTCTTCCACAAACACTTCCCTGGGACTGACCCACTGTGCTGGGTGCTGGGGACAGAGCAGTGAATGAGACAGCTAGGGACTGGCTCCCTTGGGAGCCTGCAGTCTCAGGGGTGTGGGGGGAGACAGACAGGTCTTGCAGCATTGGCGGTGCACCTGCCCTGAGGCCGTCTGTGAAGACGGAGGCGGGGGCTCTGAAGCAGCATAACCAGGAGCTCTGAGGAGGCAGCTCGAATGCAGCCCCAGGGAGCCGTGAGGCGAGCCTTCTAGGGTGGAGGCAGCCTCAGTCCCAGGCCGCACCTGCAGGAGGCCCACGGGAGGGGGGTACTGTGTCCTCTTTTGAGACGGGGACTCAGTGGTGAAGGCCAGGCCTCTGCCTGGTTTGAGGTCCAGCTCTGCCCCTTAGTATTTAACCTCAGTCTCCTCATCTGTAAAAGGGGCTCACGACAGAGCCTACGTCCTGGAGCGGTTCGGAGGTTGTGGTGCCCGGGGTGGCGTTGGCTCTGGTCCCCACAGCTCTCAGGGAGGGCTCTGCTGCGCCTGTGTGTGGGCCTCTGCCGGGAGGCCTGCGGCACCTGGGGGGATGCGGAGGGCGGTGGTGCCCGTCACACGAGGGTTAGAAGGCCATACAGGGTTTCGATGAGTTCAACAAGTATGGGTTTTGGTCCAAAACACTGTTTTTGCAATGCTGCTTTTCCCAAAGCCGGTGAGTATGTTCAGAAAGGGCTGAGGGGCCGGTGGGGCAGGAATGGAGCGGCTGGCTTTGCTGCCCGCCCCCAGGCCTCAGGCCCAGGGACAGGCACTGAATCCCAGTGTACTTGGCAGGGCCGCGGTGGGCCATCTCCTCTCCTGGTGAGGTCTGGCTCCGCAGCCCTTCCCCGCTGGCTGCAGGCCGAGGCTGCTTCAGCTCGCTGCTCCTGCAGGACCACAATGGGGGCCACCATTCAACCTATCCAAGGGGCTCTTAAAGTCCCTCAAATCATGTCATGTTGGCAGCTAAGTCTACCCACCCCATCTGGATGCAAGGTCTGTGCACCCCGGCCTCCCCACCTGCCCGTGCTGGGCCCTGGCAGCCCACGGGCATCCCTCAAGGAGGGGGAGGTACCAGCACTCCGAGCACTGCTCAGCTCTCCTCTTGGAACTCAGATGGCCGATAGGACCACGGCCAGACGCTCCATAT